TAAACAGATTGAAATTGTTTCTCCATTTCAAACATACTTACGCATGGTAGCATTTGTGAATATGATTTGAAATCAGCTTGAAATTCCTTTTCAACCTTATTCCTTAGTGCTCGCTCATATTGTTCTACAAACTGTTTCAATGAAGTCTTTGAGTGTACATATCCGTCAAAGAACGCATTCATACTCTCACTTCTTTGCGTTGTTGACATCCCTGCCCAAAAAGTGGTTTTCAGAAAGCAAGGAACCCAACGCTTTCTGTTCTCGTATAGTCCAGATAACCAATCATTTTCATGCAATCCAAACTTATTAATCATTGCGATCCAACCTTCTTCAAACTCTTCAACGAACTGGGAATCATACACCAATCCATGTATATCAGAAAATATAGAACCCTTATCAATATGGTACCCAAACTTCTCTGGCAACTTTTTCAAAATGTGCCATAAACACCACCTATGGTTTGTATTTGGAAAAACAATTTGAATTGCATTTTGCATGGCTCTATCCTGATCAGTGATTATTCCATGGGGAGCTACACTGTGTATGCACTGAAGCCATGACCTGAATAGCCACACAAAACTATTTGTGTCCTCGTTTGAAAGCAAATCACAACCAAGCAGTGTTGATTGTCCATGGTGATTGACGCCAACGAAAGGAGCAAAAGGCATATCATACTTATTTGTAAGATACCTCTTTCCTTTGCTCGATGTCGATGTTGCCTGCATATCAAAGCGAGCGTATGAGGAATTATTGTAACATCGTTCACTTCAAGCCTCCGCTTAACCTGTGCACTCAGTTCTCTATTGCATCGAAACAACCTGGATTTCGATGGGCTTGTTCCATGATTGTGGTCGAGGTGGACTGCATTAATTCTCCAAGATCCATGATCATCTGAAGATGCGCTTATCCGGGCCTTACAATTGGTTTGAATTGTTGGTTGTGGCCTTACAGATCCGGTAGCAGTACTTGGCCTTCGACCTTCACGGCCACAAGTATATGTCACAAATCTCAAAACTCCACCGGACCCTTTTTTTGAATTCCTTTTTTTTACGGGAAAACCTACGCTGTATGCATATTCTTTGTACAATTCAAACATTTCATTCTCACTGCTAAATATCATTCCGATCTTAGGTACGACGATACCATCATCTCCTAACATTTCATCTTCCACTATGTTCCTGTTCTCCGCAACGATCTCATCCTCAGTTTCCAACAAAAAATCATCAATGCCACCTTCCATATTATTTCCTGCGTCCAGAAATGAAGCAAAAATTGTATCGTCATTATTATGCATAAAGATTGAACATTCTAAGTAAATTGTAAAATAAATATAGTTTATTGGTAAAATTTCAAAGATCTATGGTTCTCACTGCTATCAACAGACTGAATAAGCTAAAAAGAACTAAAGTAAAAACCATGATTTTAACTTCCAGGTTACAAGCTTCTCGTTACCTTTAGAGTTTCACAACCTAAAGAACTAAAGTAAAAACCATGAAATCCAAATTGTTCGAACAGCATTATTGTAATAACAATAACCAATGCAGGGCATGTTTTTCATCCCCATTACAGAGTTTTCCTTTTCTTTAACACTGGACGAAATGCCATTTTACGCTTGCAGGGCAGTTCATGGTTTATCATCCCCATTACAAATTTTTCGTTTATTTTAATGTTGTAGCTTTTGTTAAATATCTCCATCTCCACTGTCATTCAAAATTTTTTTAAGCAATGACATTTACCATGCTTTGCAAACAACAAATTAAATATGTTGAATTGGAAAATTTTGAAGATGACATTTAACAGTAGGTCACCTGGGTTCGACGGTGTCGGTGAAGACATGTTGTTCGGAGGTGCTACCGGATTCGAAGAACTGGCCGGCGGGAATGAAGGCCCGGGAGAGAGGGGAACGAGGGAAAATGAGGAGGGAAAATACTGACTTCCAATTTGGGGGAGGAAAGGTTGTACCAGTGGTCTGCCAAATTTGTCCCGTTTTTCAAACAATTTCTACTGTTCATTGATGTGTCCATTATTAATTTTTTATTACCTGTTCAACATCTGTGCAAAGGAATCTCTTCGAATAGCATTATTCATGAAAATTCTTGTACTCTTGTGCATTGTCTGTTCTATATGTTCTACAATAATTTAATACTAACAATTAAAGATTCTACCAATTTTATCCAGTTGTCATTTGATGCACAACTTCCTAGTCAAATTGCCATATAATAATTTTCAATTCCAGCGTGAACTCCTATACAAATCCGAATTCTTCAGTTATATAAACAGAGTTAAATTTGCCTGTAAGACCTCCAATTTGTTCATATCGCATTACTCGAATTCGTCTCAGTTTTCAATATCCACATGGGTTTACAAGGAGATGAAGAAACAGGATCAGGGCCGGTATCAGTCCCAAAATCGTCGATTTTCCGGTACAATTCGCCGCTTGTTCAGGTTGCACTAATTGGATTGGTTTGTTTCTGCTGCCCTGGTATGTTTAACGCACTTTCCGGCATGGGCGGCGGCGGCCAGGTGGATCCCACCGCCGCTAACAATGCCAACACCGCCCTATACACCACCTTCGCCGTGTTCGGAATCTTGGGCGGTGGAATTTACAATATTTTGGGACCCCATCTTACTCTTTTTGCTGGTTGTTCTACTTATGTTTTGTATGCTGGATCATTCCTTTACTATAATCATTACCATCACCAGGCTTTTGCCATAGTCGCCGGCGCCTTACTCGGAATTGGTGCCGGACTTTTGTGGGCGGCGGAGGGTGCGATCATGACTTCGTACCCACCGCATGATCGAAAAGGGACATACATTTCCATATTCTGGAGTATTTTCAATATGGGGGGTGTCATAGGTGGTTTAATTCCTTTCATACTGAATTATCATAGGGTTGATGCCGTTTCAGTGAATGATGGTACCTATATTGGTTTCATGGTTTTCATGTCCATTGGAACAGTTTTATCACTGGGAATTTTGCACCCTAGTCGTGTTGTGCGTGATGATGGCACAAAGTGTACTAATATTAAGTACTCTAGTGTGACAGTCGAAGTGGTCGAGATTCTGAAACTGTTCCTTAATTGGAAAATGTTGCTCATGGTGCCTGCCTCTTGGGCTAGTAACTTTTTTTATAGTTACCAGTTTACTAATGTTAATGGAGCTTTGTTTAATTTGAGAACTAGGGGGTTCAATAACGTATTTTACTGGGGTGCACAGATGGTTGGCTCTGTTTTTATTGGGTACATAATGGATTTTAGCTTTAAGAATAGGAGGACTCGGGGTTTGGTTGGTATTGGAGTCGTAGCTGTGCTTAGTACGGCTATTTGGGGTGGGGGACTTGCCAAACAACTTCATTACTCTCGTGATGATTTGCCGACACTCAAGCTGGATTTCAAGAATCATACTGATTTTACAGGGCCATTTATGTTGTATTTTAGTTATGGATTGCTTGATGCCATGTTCCAGAGCATGGTCTACTGGGTTATTGGATCCTTGGCTGATGATTCTGAGATCCTTAGCAGGTATGAAATTGGCACATAAATTGTCAACAATAGCACTTGGGCAATTTCACACTGGCCTAACTATTGTTTTATACATATGTTCTAGGTATACTGGATTCTACAAGGGAGTACAGAGTGCGGGGGCAGCGGTTGCTTGGCAAATTGACGTACACAATGTGCCGTTCCTAAATGAACTGATAGTGAGTTGGGTACTCACCACAATAAGTTATCCTTTGTTAGCTGTGCTGGTCATTCGAGCTGTCAAAGATGATGAAGAAGTTGAAGGAAAACCCAAGGAAGGTGCTGCTCTCCCTGGAATCCATTGATGACAGGATGGAGCACTTATCAAGTGCTGCACTCCCTGGAATCCATTGATGACAAGATGGAGCACTTATCAAGTTAACTCAAGATTTAAAAATGTGATAGTTTCCATTTTCCAATTTGTATGTTTCCCCATTTGTAAATGGAGTGTCTGGTGAATGGCATGCATGCATATCGCAAAGAATTCACTGATTGAAATACATGGATTTGTTTTCCTAATTCAAGCTTTTGTTGATTTCTTTTCAGTCTGCTAAATTTGTCCATTCGCTTATATTCTCCTGATGTTTTTCAGTTGTGCATTTTAGAGAATTATATCTAAAAAATTGTATCATGTCTGTTTTGATGTGTCTTCAATCTTTAATATTTGCTGATTCACTTCTAGTGTTCATTAGCAAGTAATTTTTCATGTTATATCTCTGAAAATAATATCAAAAAATATTTTCATGTCAGGCCATTGAGAAGGCAGTCTCACACTTAACCCACCCTATGCGTACATATCCATAAGTGAGATGTCCTCTATATACAAGGAATTATAGGCTTGAAACAACATGAACTAGAAGGTATCGTCTATTGTAGGCTGTAAACGATGTGGCAAAATCTTTATTCTATTGAATTCTGTAGTTTCAATGATTTATCCATAAGGAGAGCCAGCCCCATAAGTACTGATAAGGTTTCATTGAGTTCTTTGGTCGAGTTGAGTCCATATTTTCAAGAACTTTGCGTAGAAATGACTACTGAAGTGATGATAAAGATGTTGAATCAATGTTTGTCATATCTTGATTATATTTTATTAAAATTGTCCTTGTATAAAGGATCTAAATTTGATCTATTGTCTGCAATTTCTAAGAATAATGAATAAGTTATTGAAAATGATCTTCGCACACTATGTCTTGCTAATATGGTAGCTGTCCTCCTAATCAGCAGTCGTGGCAATATTAATTAGTTCAAACAACTAATGAACAAACAGCCTACACAAGAAGCTGCTCTCTGAGACAATCATCTATAAGAGGTTCGACAAGTTCGCTTCGAAGACCTTTGTGGCTTTGTCTAAGCTGTTTCTTATGCTGTCTTTGTATAATCCGTGTAAATTTTGTCATCTCTTATGTGTCTTTTCAATTACCGAACTGGTAGTATATGGCATATAGTTATGCACAGAATAGTATCTCAGCCCGGGTTCATTTCTTCGTTCATTGCTTGTATGAGAAAACTTTCTAGCTTGATCGATTAATCTTATAAGAAGATTGCAAAGGTTAACAGATTGTAAGCATTAAGAAACCTGTCGATTAACTTATCAGAACTGCATAATTCGCAGATGCATAACTATAGATTTCCTGATGACGTCAACTGCTTAGGAACTTTCTGATTCTAGGAGATTTAAATCTAGCAACGAGGATCTGCTTATTCTCGAACCAATGTCTAATTGCCCACAATTTTTCATCATTCTTTCAAGAACAACAGTATTTTCTTGGCATTTTCCCCCCAAGTCTCTGTCAAGTTTCCTGTATTTATAGTTTTCGTCTGGTGAAGTATATGCCCAAAATTGATGCAAAAAACTTTGTGCCTTTCCTCTTGTTAACTATATGCCCAATATCTAAAGCAGTTTGAGACAGGTTAAGTGTGTTCATTTAAATCTCCTCTACACGCCCCATTACGCATAGACTAGATTCATTTTTCTATCAAAGATTTGACACAAGGATAATTTTCATAAATGGGTGGTGGCAAGACTTGAACCTAAGTCTTTGTGATGCTTTACTACATGTTATATCATATTTGTATTCACGAGCAATGTTGGATGTTGACTAATATTTAGATACCGTCTATACAAATTATTATGATTATTATTGTAAACCACGTCCATCACTAGTCTAAAAGGATTTAAGCAATTATTTCGTTTTTGGCTCTATGTTGGCATTTGAAATGCGGTCAAATTTTGGCTGCAATGTTGGAATCTAATCTTGCGCAGATTCGCTAGAAATTTTCTTTTTGTACTTATTTACAGGAAAGATATTATACAATGAAGAAATAGTGACTTATTGTTTGTTATTGTTAGAAGCATTAATCTTACCATGTTTGCGGCATAGTGATTCGTCTTTCTTTTTCATTTTTTTTTTCATTTTTTTTTTAATAACTCGTGGTCCTTTCATTTACAAGGCTCAAGATTTTCAGAAACAGCTGGCTCATCGTGCTGCATAAAAAAGAAATACATTATGAACGTCGTAGTCAGATGTACCCTTCTTGTGGAAATTAAGACCAAAGGTATAGTTGTCATAGAATAATCAAATTCGTGATATGATAAGAACATTTTACATTCTTGTACTTTTGTGCAAAGAAGTCCTGCAAGAGTCAAAATTCTGCAGTTCGTCAAAGTCCCTTTTGAATTTTGCTATCACCATTTTTCATTCCCTGGAAAGATCCTCATGGGTTTACAAGGAGATGAAGAAACTGGACAAGGGTTCCCTGAATCACCTCCCAAACCATCCATTTTCCGGCACAATTCCCCCCTTGTTCAGGTTGCCCTCATTGGATTGGTGTGTTTCTGCTGCCCTGGCATGTTCAGCGCTCTTTCAGGGATTGGTGGAGGCGGTCAGGTGGATCCCACTGCAGCCAACAATGCCAATACTGCCCTTTACACAACCTTTGCAGTCTTTGGAATCTTGGGTGGAGGTATCTACAACATTTTGGGTCCTCATCTTACTCTGTTTTCTGGCTGTTCTACTTATGTTTTGTACGCAGGATCCTTCCTTTATTACAATCATTACCACCACCAGGCCTTTCCCATAGTTGCTGGTGCCTTACTCGGAATTGGCGCTGGCCTTCTGTGGGCGGCACAGGGCGCCATTATGACCTCTTACCCACCCCATGAACGCAAGGGCGCTTACATTTCTATCTTTTGGAGCATTTTCAGCATGGGGGGTGTCATAGGTGGTCTAATTCCTTTTACACTGAATTTCCATAGGACTGATGCTGTTTCAGTTAATGATGCTACCTACATCGCTTTCATGGTTTTCATGTCCATCGGAACAGTTTTATCTCTGGCAATATCACATCCTAGCCGTGTCCACCGTGATGATGGCTCAAGGTGTACTAATATAGAGTACTCCAGTGTGTCAGTTGAAGCCATTGAGATTTTGAAATTGTTCCTCAACTGGAAAATGTTACTCTTAGTGCCTGCCTATTGGGCTAGTAACTTTTTCTACAGTTACCAGTTCAATAACGTCAGTGGGGTTCTGTTTAATTTGAGGACTAGGGGACTATGCAATGTATTTTACTGGGCTGCACAGATGGTTGGCTCCATTTTTATTGGGTACATAATGGATTTCAGTTTTAAGAGTAGGAGGACTCGGGGGTTAGTTGGCATTGGAGTCGTGGCTGTGCTCGGGACAGCTATTTGGGGTGCGGGGGTTGCAAATCAACTCAATTACTCTCGTCATGATTTGCCGACGCACAAGCTGGATTTCAAGGATTATACTGATTTTGCAGGGCCATTTGTGTTGTATTTTAGTTACGGATTGTTCGATGCCATGTTCCAGAGCATGGTCTACTGGATCATTGGAGCGTTGGCTGATGATTCCGAGATCCTTAGCAGGTATAATATTCACACACAATAAACTTGAGCACACGTGGTAATCTGATGCTGGATTAACTGTTGTTGATCTCATTTTTCAGATACAATGGATTCTACAAGGGAGTACAGAGTGCAGGGGCAGCGGTGGCTTGGCAAATTGATACACAAAAAGTGCCACTTCTGAATGAAATTGTAGTGAATTGGGCACTCCTTACAGTAAGTTATCCTTTGTTGGTCGTGGTGGTCATGCGAGCTGTCAAAGATGATGAAGTTGAAGGAAAATCCAAGGGTACAGCAATCCCTGGAATCCATTGATGGTTTTACGGTGCATTTATCTGTTATTTTTAAAGACTTCAGAATTTGAAATTTCAAATTCTCAACGTTGAATGATGTAGTCTTCAGTTCGTAATATCAAGTTATGCTCACTTATCCTTGGGTGCTATGTCCTTGACATGTACTGTGCACTACTAATTTACGTACGAGGAAAGAACTCTGATTTTCTAGAACTCTTCCTAGAAATGGCAATTGAAGTGACATTAAAGATGATGAATCACTCTTCTTTGTATCTTGTTATCAACTTTAAATGCTCCGTTAAATTGATGACGAGATGTTTAAACTATTATATGCACTATGAACAAGTTGCTGATATGATCTCAGCACATTTTCTTTGGCTCTCTAGAGTCACATGACTCCCAACTTTTGAGATTTTATTTTTTTTGGATTAATTCTTATTTTGTATCAATTGAAATATAAATCTTAATCTAAATCAAAGTTAATAATTCATTTTAATAACATATTTTATGAAATCTTTAACTTTTTTCAAAATTTATTAAAAATCTGATTTTAATTCCCACCAAATATGGGAAAAATCAAAATAAATTTGAATTTTTTTCTTTTTTCTTGCTCTATCTTACTCTCTCCCTCACGTCCTTCACCAAAACCTTAACCCTTCTAATTTTTTTTATTTTTTAAAATTTCACCATAATTTCTCTACAAAATTTCACTTTCCAATCAAAATTTCAATTTATTATAACCTAAATTTACGTTTTCTCATATCCTATTTGTGTATATAGAATATGTCTGGACTGATTATATCAAATTTAAGTTATATTTAACGAATTGTATTTATTTGATTATATGTTGGTTATATATTTTTCTTTTCAATCAGTTGATTCGATTGTTTGTATCAAATACAATATAAATTTTTAAAACGTAAATATGCATATTCTTGTGACGTGCAAAATATTAATAAAATGATTGCTCGAAATCATAAAAGTTTTTGCGTCCGCCCCTGGCTCTCATAATCACCAGTCATGGCAATTTTGATAAGTTCAAACAGCCAGCACAAGACATATTGTCATTCATCTATAACAGGTTCGAAATTGGCCTTACAGAGACCTTGGTTTAAGCTGTTGCTTGTATTTTCTTTGTATAATCTCTTTATTATGTCATTTCTTGCGCGTCTTTCCAATTAGCAAAGTTGTATTATATGCCATACAGTTATACCCAACAAATACGTATTGCATGTTTTTTGCTGCTCATCTGCTGTTTTCGAGGGAGATTTTACATTCAACTTTATACAGGTTAACTGCTTTCCGGTTTCCAGCATACGTGAAGCTTGCTCGTATGGATGCTGCTACCTTCACCCCCAAGATGCTTGAAAGGTGCGAAATTTGATTCGATACCACAATGTCGGGAATACTACAAGTACAATATATGTCTATTTTATTACATGAGCCTCGAAAAAACCAATCCATCTCTAATTGTGCAGCATGAATCTAACACCTTATACTTCAACTATTGGTGCTTCACTTTTCTTCTCAGATTTTTGGAGCAGGGTGGCAGCAACAGTATCTGCTACCTCTTTCTTCTCCTCCTTGACCACATCTACAGCTTCTGCTGACTTCAACCCAGGCAGACTTCAGTTCTACCGATACAGCGAGAAAGCTCAACATACTCTGACTCTGCTTCTGGCTTGCTCTCGACCGGAACAAGTTCATCAAGAACCGGTTTTGTCTCAGTTGCTGGGGTTACTTCCTCGTTTTTCACTGCCTCTGCTGCTGGTTCTGAAAGATCTAGAAAAGTTTCTTCCTTAGTCTCACCATCTTTCTTCTCCCGCAACCATTGACCATAAGAGAACGAACATAATTCATATATCACAAATCAAATTGATCGTTTTTCAATAGCACTTAAAGTATGTTGCTCCAGAACCCTAGCTCTAAAGTTTTTGTCTAAACCCAAGTATGATAGGATCATTTGCTTTGTCGAATATATGTTGAATTAATATCGACTTTAATCCTAACTATCCACGAATCATTGGGATAAACGCAATAATTCGTGAAAAGAGATTCTTATACTAAATCAACTCGTGATCAAATGGGGTGGTTAGGAACAGTATCAGCCTCGGTACTCTTAGGGGCGGCCGGGGCTTCAACAGGGGCTGGTGCATCGTCAAGATTCAAGTCTCTAGGTTTGCCCACGCAGCCTCCAATGATGTTATCTAAAAAAAAAAAGGTTGAACCCCAACCTTAAGGGTCCCCCACCGCCCCTACTCTGGAGCATCGTGAGGGAGGTAAATCGCAGGTTATGCCTCCAATGATGTTATCTAGATTGGTGGGAAGATTGAGTAAGCAGAAAATTGGATAACGAATGACGAGAAACTTGAAAACGGAAAGCATCACACAACTAAACAAATTTAGAGGCTGAAACGAAAAACAGGCAAGCAAGAGATTATATAGAGGGAACCTTGCAACATGTGCACTATGATGTATATTTTAATTTACACTTTATCACGTGTCATTATTCTATTGGACAGTTTGAATTTCAAACAATTTTTTCATCCAATTGACACTTGACAACAATACAAATGTCAACCAAAGAGTCAAAAATCAGTATACAAATAGCAAAATTCATAGAAAGATGGATAGCAACCTATTTGCTTGTTTCAAGGGCTTTAATACAATATGAATACATGTTTGTGGACAGCCTGTATTGACATTGTCATAGGCATACCATGTTTCTCGTTGGCAATAACATATGAGAGCTTTTTTTTTTTTCATTTTTTCATTTTTATTTATTTTTTTTTTCTCTTTTTAAGGAAGTGGGCAGCCTGTTTTGAAAGTTAGTTACGGCAGTTACAAGAGAATATTGATAAATACAGGTTTAATTGGCTGGAATTCTCTGTTTACCGAACAAGATTTACTTTTATACCCAAATCACCATCCTCATATATCGAGCAAGATTTGGATGGTCTTTTTCACCTAATATACATGGAATTTGTTTTTAACTTATTACTAGCTTTTCTAAAAAAATTAGCCACGTAATTTGCATCATCATCAACCCAAATTGACATTCTTGATTTGAGTTCAGAGATGCTCAACAACATTTCACATGCACACTTCACTAAAACAATTTAGGAATATGTTACTTGTACACGGTGTCCATACGTCTACCCCTTTACATGGACAGAAACCCATTTCGAATAAAAAAAATTACCTAAAGTGGGTCCCCTCCATGTGAGGAGGTGGACACCGAAATGGACACCTTGATATACGTAAAGCATCACCCGACAATTTAAACTCAAGAAAACAAAAATTGATCAAACTCAAGTTGAACTAAAAAAGCAAACTGCATCATTGCAAATATGAAATCTCACATCACAAAATTTCAAATTAACTTTAACGCGTCTACAAGTCTCCAAATTACCTTAATCATAAAGATAAATAATGGTTCAAAAAGAAATCATCATGCAGCATTCCTATGGTATAACTACTCATTCTTCTTCGACTATGGTTCCCCTCTCGCTGACGTAGATACCATCAAGGAACTTCCTGATATCCTTGTTCTTCACATGGCATTTCTGTCAATAGAAATTTAAACAGCAATACCAGCATAAGTACGTGCAGATGTATGAATATTAGAGATGTGGACTGTAAGCTAGAATAACTATGCGAGAGTAATTGGGAGTTACCTGGTTTATCAGAGCACAAGATCGAGAAACAAGCTCAATGTCATTACCATCCAAAACCAATTCATCCTTAACCTTCTCAGATCTAACAATGTTAACTCCTTCGAGCATTTCAACCTTCCTAACCTGGAGATTTAAAAAAAATGGCAACCATACCCCAAATTCAAAGGCTAAATCAACCCCAAACTAGCACATTAAAGAGCAGCAATCCAAAAAAGGATCTACTAACATGTCAACAAATCGAGATAGCCACTAGCCCACAATTTCATATTATTTAAAGAATAAACCCATAATTATTAAGAGCCCGTTTGGGCCCCATTTTTTCACCAAAAAAATTGATTTTTGACCATTATTTCACTATTCCAACCGTCATATTTAACTTCTTCTCTCACAGGTGGACCCCACTTTTCTCCTAACGGTCAAGAAATCAATTCTCAAAATCACTCCCAAACAGGCTCTAATGCTTACTGAAACCAAGTAGCAGATTGTGTCCCCAAGTGAAAGATAATAAACAATTCATCTACAAATGATTCTTAAACTGTTTGCATCTAATTATGTTTCCTCAGTACACAGAGAAAGCAATAGTGTTAATTACATTCAATTGAGCCACTTCTACCATACAAAATCGCACAACCCCTAGCATAACAGTAAATGTCAAAAAAAATTACTTGCCACGCTCTTTAAGAAATGCATCCCCACACAAGCAATATCAAAGTTCACTCCAAAACTAACATTTTCACAAATCCAGCTCTAAACAATCTATCAACAGAGAAAAACATAGTGCAAACCTAACCCAGTAGAACAATCAAATCAAAACAGGAATCCAAATCAGGTGCTAATGATAAGTTTTTACTGACACGTTGGTAAATAGAAGAAAGCAAAAAAAAAAATTCATTCACATTGGCATTTGTTTCAAATAACAGGCAAGTAAGTAGTAAAACTGATCATGTCAACATAATAAAACCAAAAACTCCGAATCATTTCCCTGAACTATTCAAAATCTTCACCAGCTACACTCTTAAGAAAGGTCCAATGGCTTGAATCCCCACACAAATAATAATAGTTTACTCAACGTGTTCGCAAAATTCAGCTCTAAACAATCTACCATTAGAACAAACCGTAGTGCAAACTAACCAAATAGAACAGTCAAAAAATCGAATCCAAAATCCAAAATCAATTGCTCATGATAAGTTTTTACAGACACGTTTGATAAAGAAAAAGAAAACTTAAATTCGCATTGCCAGTCTTTCTTTATTTGCAAATAACATGTAACTAATAAAGCTATAATGCATAAAAAAGGATGTTAACACCTAACACTAAATACCGTTCATAAACAAATGCACATAATTCCAACCAAGGAACATAAAAACACATAAACAGTATTAAAAGGCTAGGGGCTTAAACCTTCTTCTCTCCTAGGAAGTTACGAATCTCAATCGACTTGTTACCATTAGTAATAGAAGCATTAATCGGAAAGTGAGCATAGACAAAACGCATCTTGTAGCGGTATCCCTTAGTAACGCCGGTAATAAGGTTATTGACATGGCTGAGCGCGGTGCGGATAGCTGCGGTGGTTTTCCTCGACCCGAACCATGCATCCACCTTCAGCTTCCTCTTCCCAGTTTCCTCATCGGTGATCAGCTGGAAATCCAAGTTCAAATGCTTGAAGTTTCGGGTCAGTGTTCCTCTCGGACCCTCCACTTCAATCATTTTTGCTTTGACCTTGATCTTCACCCCGTCTGGTATATCCATGGTTTCCGATGACAGTATCGTCTTCATTGTTTCGCTCTGTACGTGTGCGCAGTGTGTGATAATTGAGGTAAGGGCAAAGGCGCAATTAGCTATCTAGAAGATGGCATTTTATAGTGAAGCCCTAGCAGTCTGATGTGGGCCGAATTCAGTTCCAAACTGGGCCAACGGGCTCTGCACCTGAGTAATGGGAAATTTACACAAGTAGCACAAAAAATCTAGTTTTGTATATGGCACAGAATATATATTTGAAACGTAATTAAATAATTCATTATTACTATTTCTAGTAATTGTATAGCATAATTAAATAAATTCATTATTACTACTTTTGGTAATTGTTATGACATTGGAAATATGCATTCAAAATCAATATAGGTTAGACAATAGATAATATTCGAGGACGTGAGATTTGACTCTGTTTATATTGGATGCAATCTACAAACGGAATTAGATATATTTTTAGAAAAAGTGTAATTTCGGAATTCTTATCATTACTATTTTTATAATTTTGATGACTAGGATATAGTCCATCGAATTTAATATAGGTTGATAGATACAGAATGTTTACTCTTGGATAGTTCAATCGAAAACTCGTGACCAGACCATCAATCTAGTCTAAATTGCTTTATTAGATCGATCTGCAATCAATCTTGTAAAATTCTAAAAACCCGTTGAATTTCATCACGTGCCAAATAGAATTATGCAAAAATGGAACACCAACAAAAATCTTTCTAGGGATTACCTTTGCTCTTCGTGCTATATTCATTTATGAAGAAGTGCACATTTTGCAAAACAAATTAAGAGGATGTTTGATGGAGATTAAAATTAGATTTTTTGGTATATTGTAGTAAAAGTTTTTGAAATGTGTGGTTAAAAAGTTATGGAACCCATGAAATATGTGATTAATATTGATTGTTTGACTTAGACTTAGACTTAGATTAAAATCAGATTTTAATCCGTACCAAACATGCTCTATGGTTTAAACTATTTGTGTTACAAAATAACAAACTTGTCGGAATGTTTAGGTGCATGCATAGTAGGAAACCAAAAAACTCATCAAAATTTCATTTGCCTAAATTTACGACCTTTTTGTTATTATCTCACATATGCTCATGTCTTTCTCCTTTCCCTAAAATTTAGATGATTTGATCCTTTCAAATTCATCTACTTGGTATGACAAAACTCACGTTTCAACCTTCATCTTTTGTATATATGGTACTTTTCTTAAACTATGTACCCTAATGAATTTACAAAGTGTTGGCTTCAAATTAATTAGTAACCTAATTATAATTTATTTTTCACAAATATCAAAAAGCTTAAGTATGTACGATGAAATGCAGTCAAGTTTGGGACTCTAGCAATCGCTTGTTTGGATCATTAATTATAATCTCTTTATAATTTAAAAATTAAAGTTATTATAGTCTCCATGCATGGGATCCATTATTCCTCCGCAATATAATTTAACTACAAGTTCTATCATTAATAGAGATGCATCGCTGTTAGGTTGCAATGAATTCACTTTTTATTGTTTATTGTCACCTCATTAGTGATGCGTTCATGATAAATAACGTTATTCTCGTAATCTCATTATAATCAAATCCAAACAAGCACCTAGGATAGGTGTAGGGGTTTATAGGGTTAAGAATCATTTATATACACTATTTCCTTACATTAATCGCATCATTCAACCACACATGTACAGAGAGAGATACATGCAAAACATCTGTTTCAATTTCCTCAGACGATAAGAAAATTGATGAAACGTGGACATATAATGTTAGCATTAACTAAGATTTCCTCTCCTTACTCCTTATAGCAGAAGATAAGAAATATTGTTATGAGATTGTGAATACATATATATATATATATATATAGAGAGAGAGAGAGAGAGAGAGAGAGAGAGAGAGAGGGAGAGAGAAGATGGAGGTGAGGAAATCGATAATGAATGCTAGAGTACTGATTGGTATGCTGGTGGTACAAGTGATTGCAACAGGACTGCAACTTCTTTCTAGGGTTATACTGACTCAAGGAACCTTTCTTTTCGCTCTACTGGCGTATCGAAATGTAGTTGGTGCTATTTGTGTCCTTCCTTTTGCTCTCTACTGGGAAAGGTTAATTAGTTCATTTTATATTGTATTTTCAATTATAATTTATGAGCTTATAATTAATTTAAATTGAATGATGTTTCTGTTTATTGCAGAGATGGATTAAAGAAGGTAACCTGGATAGTCTTTTTCTGGCTGTTCATGGTAGCCTTAACCGGGTAAATCTCTTCGTCTTCCTCTCTCTCTCTCTCCCTCCCTCCCTCCCCCTCTCTCTTTTCAATCCCATTTTTGCATGAACTGTATTGAAAGTCTAAGATTTTTACTTTTATCTTTTAAAAATCAGTGAGCTAATTTTTCTGAGGAAAAAATTTTATGGGGTTCCACTAGAGAGTAATTATATTAAATATTTGTAATTAACACTTACGATATTCGTGTTCAAGAGAATTGCTTGAATTATTGAGGTTTTTGATAAAAGAACAAATGGAGTCCTAGTTTAAAAAATTTGGACCTCAATCGTTGTCTAGAGATACTAGTTTAAGTCCATCTCGTGACAAAGGACTACCTTCTCTCTGGACAAAGAAAAAACACTAATTATTTTTAATTTTAATGGTGTTCCGTTTTGGGAATGTGTGAATGCACGCGCAGAAGAAATTATCATACAAAATTGGTTGTTTCTTGAATATAAATTCATGCAAGTAAATGTCACCTTCTTGGTAGTTGAATTGAACAAAATTAGAAATCCTTAATAAAGAAAAATATCAAAAATGTTTACAATTGCGTTATACCGTCCAAGGTATCAAATGTTACTTCATAGGAATATGGTATGCTCAAGGGTGGATGTAGCAGGGACAGGACCGAGCTATAGGCCGGTCCAATTTCCAACCCATTTCATTTTGGTTCGGCTTTATTTATTTATTTTAATTTCGGTCCTAAATTTGTACTTAAGTACGTTGGTATGCCACGAACATCTACGCATGTAACGTTGAGCCTCGAAACCCCAATCAAAGACTTTTGATTTGACTATGAACTAAAATTCTCAACATTAACGAAATGTGAGATTTTGCTACAATATGAAACGGAAAGATGGCTAGATTTAACGAAATGTTGGCAGATTTTGTCATCTCTTTGTTTTGGGATGGAAAAGGCCTTTAAAATAAATAATTTTACATCTTCAATTCTGAAAACATGTCTCATATAAATTTTTATTTTAATCTAACAATTATAAATATCGAATTTTTTTACAATTTTTTCTTTATTTTACTGAAATAATTGTATGTTTTAATATTGTAGTTTGGCTTGTTAGGTCCCAACATCTAATACATCTTCTTTTTTTTTTTTTTTTTTTCCTGGCTAGAGATTTAATTAGTTTTCGCAATTTAGGAAATCTATTTTGTCGGAGAATTGCGGCTATTTTTAAGATAAATTTTGATTTTGGACCGTGCTACAGAGCCCTGGTTAAAATCTCGAGCTCCAATCCAGGGCCGAGGTGCCACCCCGGCCGTAGATCTTCTGCACTTGGGGGGCCCGCCATCAAAAATCGGGGGCAGAGGCTCTACCACCTCTGCCCCTGGAATGGAACCCGGGATTTAATTCCGGGTTCTTCGGCATTTTCCTTAAAAGTGTATATTAATATCGGAAACATAGAAATCAATAAGGACTATAAATATGCTAGTCCTTGGTAATGGTAGCCTCACACTATGTTTGAAAAAGCCTACGTACATATATTAAACATGATTATCGTTTAAGTTGAAGTTTTAAACTTACATACCATAGCTTAATCAACATTTTGAGTAGATCCTTCCATCTCTCAACCGATCATTAAAAATCTTAAAAATATTCATATTATCAATTTTTATTTGTATGCTTTCTGCCCCCTCCACTGGCTTTTGTGTCTATACATACATACATGATGCAGGATAACAATGGCTATGGGATTATTCTATTTGGGACTAACGGACACCACAGCTACATATGCCACCAATTTCTTGAATCTAATCCCAGTTGTCACCTTTATCTTCTCATCAATCCTAAGGTATGTATACATGTAAATCATTGACCGCTTGCAAGAAGCGAGCTAGGGGAGTACAAGGGTTTTTCTTTTTTTTTTTTAACTGGACTAATATATAGGGAAAAAAATATATTTTTTTATACTTAGCTGATAAATAGAAGAAAAATGTATTCATAAATATTTTCACATATAAAAGAAAATAAATGGGCTCCCCATCTTCCATGAACTGTATTGAAAGTCTAAGATTTTTACTTTTATCTTTTAAAAATCAGTGAGCTAACTTTTCTGAGGAAAAAATTTTATGGGGTTCCACTAGAGAGTAATTATATTAAATATTTGTAATTAACACTTACGATATTCGTGTTCAAGAGAATTGCTTGAATTATTGAGGTTTTTGATAAAAGAACAAATGGAGTCCTAGTTTAAAAAATTTGGACCTCAATCGTTGTCTAGAGATACTAGTTTAAGTCCATCTCGTGACAAAGGACTACCTTCTCTCTGGACAAAGAAAAAACACTAATTATTTTTAATTTTAATGGTGTTCCGTTTTGGGAATGTGTGAATGCACGCGCAGAAGAAATTATCATACAAAATTGGTTGTTTCTTGAATATAAATTCATGCAAGTAAATGTCACCTTCTTGGTAGTTGAATTGAACAAAATTAGAAATCCTTAATAAAGAAAAATATCAAAAATGTTTACAATTGCGTTATACCGTCCAAGGTATCAAATGTTACTTCATAGGAATATGGTATGCTCAAGGGTGGATGTAGCAGGGACAGGACCGAGCTATAGGCCGGTCCAATTTCCAACCCATTTCATTTTGGTTCGGCTTTATTTATTTATTTTAATTTCGGTCCTAAATTTGTACTTAAGTACGTTGGTATGCCACGAACATCTACGCATGTAACGTTGAGCCTCGAAACCCCAATCAAAGACTTTTGATTTGACTATGAACTAAAATTCTCAACATTAACGAAATGTGAGATTTTGCTACAATATGAAACGGAAAGATGGCTAGATTTAACGAAATGTTGGCAGATTTTGTCATCTCTTTGTTTTGGGATGGAAAAGGCCTTTAAAATAAATAATTTTACATCTTCAATTCTGAAAACATGTCTCATATAAATTTTTATTTTAATCTAACAATTATAAATATCGAATTTTTTTACAATTTTTTCTTTATTTTACTGAAATAATTGTATGTTTTAATATTGTAGTTTGGCTTGTTAGGTCCCAACATCTAATACATCTTCTTTTCTTTTTTTTTTTTTCCTGGCTAGAGATTTAATTAGTTTTCGCAATTTAGGAAATCTATTTTGTCGGAGAATTGCGGCTATTTTTAAGATAAATTTTGATTTTGGACCGTGCTACAGAGCCCTGGTTAAAATCTCGAGCTCCAATCCAGGGCCGAGGTGCCACCCCGGCCGTAGATCTTCTGCACTTGGGGGGCCCGCCATCAAAAATCGGGGGCAGAGGCTCTACCACCTCTGCCCCTGGAATGGAACCCGGGATTTAATTCCGGGTTCTTCGGCATTTTCCTTAAAAGTGTATATTAATATCGGAAACATAGAAATCAATAAGGACTATAAATATGCTAGTCCTTGGTAATGGTAGCCTCACACTATGTTTGAAAAAGCCTACGTACATATATTAAACATGATTATCGTTTAAGTTGAAGTTTTAAACTTACATACCATAGCTTAATCAACATTTTGAGTAGATCCTTCCATCTCTCAACCGATCATTAAAAATCTTAAAAATATTCATATTATCAATTTTTATTTGTATGCTTTCTGCCCCCTCCACTGGCTTTTGTGTCTATACATACATACATGATGCAGGATAACAATGGCTATGGGATTATTCTATTTGGGACTAACGGACACCACAGCTACATATGCCACCAATTTCTTGAATCTAATCCCAGTTGTCACCTTTATCTTCTCATCAATCCTAAGGTACTATGAATATATTTGAATTTTGAAGATATTTAAAAAATATTCAATTGCAGGGGACACTGGCCACTGCTGCAACATTTTGTTTGATTTCATGGGCAATTGCTGAACGTGGACCGACTTATCCATCCATGTTCAATCCATTGTCACTTATTTTAGTGGCTATACTTGAAGCTATCTTCCTCGGCGAACCAATAACGGTTGGAAGGTACAAATCTCATTGGTCAATTCTATTCCGATATGTCCAATTTTGACTGTTATTTTGGGTTCTTTGCAGCTTGCTTGGCATGTGTCTTATCATAGTAGGCTTGTACTCATTCCTATGGGGAAAAAGCAAGGAGCCCAAAGCCAAGTCTGCGGGTATGGCTAAAGAAGGCGGCCCCGCCGTGCCAGAAGCCGTAGGCTTGGAATCGGTCACCGTAGTTATGCCTGCCAATACCAAAATCAGCAATGTTGAAGATGATAACCAAATAGAACTTGCACGCTAATAGATATACCCATCTTACTTTTACTGCTATTATGCCACCTATGCACGACAGAGTGAATTGAATGCTACTGGAAATTCATAATGTTATATTTGATCTTACTTTTATGATATTGACCACTTATTATTAATCCAAAACTTTTTATGAGACGATGGGTGCAAGTTTTTACGATATTGGACCGTACTAATAACCTTGTTAACGTGATATTTTTTGTTCATGGGTTTTATAAGCTGTTTTATAGGCAACACTTTGGCCGGGGATATGTGGTCAAGGTTTGGTGCCAACTTCTTCTTCTTCTTCTTTTCACGAGATTATTCAATATAGGAATTGTTAGGTACACTTGGATTTATGGGTCTAAGAGCATTTTCAAGAGACTCCCTATTTTTAAAGAGCATATTTTATAATTTAGAATGCATCTATGAATCTAGAGAGTAAAAATTTTGAAATACTGTAACAAGCTATTTATATTTAATACTTAATTTTACTACTTTCAAAAAGTATTTATTAAAATATTTTCGAGAGTGGGTGAATTTGGAGGGTCAAACCCATTTTCTAAATTAAAATATTAATTTAAAAAGTCTCTTAAAGTATGATTTTTAAGAATTGACTTTTTAAAATAAAGAATATCTCATATTTAAAGAGTTTTTGAAAAATTCTCAACCTTTGGGCCCAAATTTTTTCTCCATGTTCTCTTAGTGTTGGCCCCATGAAAAGTATGTTGGCCCGTATATTTGTTCATGTCCAGCCCAACAGCCACATCATACAACACTGATTAAACTAACCAATTAACCAAACCCATCAAAATAATCCCCCAAAGCAAGATCTCAAAAGGCTAAGAAGTAAGAACTCAAAATTTCAAATCTTCTTAGTAGATATATTTCTAAACTCAAAAAAATTAGTTGCACAAATGAGGAACTATGGAGCACATAGGAAATAGAGCAAGTAACAAGGTTAAAAAATCTAGTGCCGAGCACATTAAATACTTATTTGGTATGCATTACTCGATAGGACTCGAGAGTTTTAACTTCTTTTTTTCTCAACACTAACTTGTACTATTCAATCCTCTATACTAAATCTGCCATGACGAAATTACACCGTATTATCACTCGAAACAATTAGACTAAGAAAAGCATCTTGAATAAAACTATGAATCTCTGATGAATTTAGAGCAATGTAACAGTATATGAGTTCCTCCATTTGATTCCAATCTTGAATTCCCACATTTTGTATCACTTGGATTATAGATTCTCTTATATAAAAAATTGGATCTGAGGAATATTTCACTGCACAAATACAATCTGCAAATGCCCCACAAACATCTTCTGGTAACTTGGCTGAAAAGCTTATTCTTGAACTTCTACTTCTCTGCAAAATTTTCTTCTTCGTCTCGACTTTCGCCATTTCTTGTGCGGATTACGAACAGAGGGAATTTCGGGTGGAGCAGTGAAATACGCGAGAATTCACAAATTATATATAGATATATAAATATGAGTATATGTGTGTAATATATACATCATTGTGCTGCATAAATGCGTGCATGTGCCTGCATGGCTGAACCCATAGGGCATAGGGTGTCTAAATAAAGACATTGCATTAGTAGTATCCATTGAGGATCAGACCATGTGTCATGTGGACCATTGAAGGATCAGACCATGTGTCATGTGGACCATTGTATTTAGGTCGTGAAAAAGGTTAAGCCCCGTTTGACTCCCATTAATTTTCATTAGATTACATTTCATTTTTTTTCTCATATTTTCAACTACACAATCTTCCATAAAATAATATTACACGTAAATCGAAAATTTTTTCTTCTTTTTCTATCACCCATTTTTCAAAAAAATACTATTTCACCCATTAATTTTTCTATGGAATGTGGGCCAAACAGGGGCTAAATATGTAAAGGGTAACATATTACAAGTAAAAAAGCATTTATTTCCAGCTAAATAAAAATAAATAAATAAAAAGTAGCTAGAATTAGTATTTATTATAACGGGATGCATGTTTAACTTTATCCTGTACGTTGAACTAAACACAACTAACCATAGAGTAGCAACGAATTTTATTGTACTTCTTAAGTTATTTCAAGTTCAAGAATCAAACTGATTTTATTGCTTTTTTTTTTTTAGTTTTAATCAAATGTACAGTACTACATAATTGATAGATAATCTAATATAATTTGTTTCCTTATTTTGTTCATTGTGTTCCCACTGACATAGCATTTGTTTCTACCATGTCCCTTTCGATGGCACTGCACATGTTAGGCATTTAAGAAGCAAACACGGTTTTTATGGGTTTATTTCACACATAGATAATATAATTTACACTCAAATTGCAAAAAAAAAAAAAAAAAAAAAAAAAAAAAAAAAATTTTTGCAATAAATGCTATCAATATTTTGAATTACTTATGCTAGTTCGAAATATTGTCCAAAATAATAGGTTAATTAGTCGGTCAGCTCGACCATCTCAGATTGAGTATGTAATAGTTGGTTCAGTTCTAACGTTCATACTAATCATGTTTCACGAGACTGATTGTTGCAAGGATCACTTGATTTTTGTAAACAGTTTAAAATTTATAAATAGATAGAAAATGTCATGATAGTAAATAAATGAATCGTATTTGTGACTCCAATTGAATGTATGGTTAAAAAAAAGTTAATAACACAAGTTGTTTGTAATTTGAAATTCAAAATAAAAAATGAGAAAATTGGGAAGGTCGGGTTGATTCAAGAAATTCCAGACCTTCCAAAATAATGGTATTTCAAGAAATCAATTAACCTCTAAAAAAATGATATTTTTTGCAGAAATAATTCATTGACATTTTTATTCTTATCTTTCTTAAACTATAAATAGAAAATTATTCCACAATATATCTTAAAAGAATAATGTCATTTATCATCATGATGATGGAAAATCGGTGACGTGACAATATATTATCCCTCACATTTATCTCTCTTTCCTTCCCCTTTCTCTCTCACAAAAATTAAACTACCCAATTTTATTATTTTACATAGACTGCTACATTACCGATATTCTATCATCATAATGATAAATATCATTATTTATCTTGAAATTAAGGATCATCATTAGCTCCATATCTCTACTGTATCTCCTAAAAATAAAATAACTAAATTCCTAATGCTATCGGCATCTTCGATAGTGAAATTTAGTTAACTTTGCTTAGTGGCAAAGAAGGCAGCGTTTCACTAAAATGATATATTTTGAGTTTTGCATAAAGTACAAAATGTTATCTGTCGCGTCAAGCATTGGCAAAAATGATAAAAATGAAAGATACGTTTTTGGTTCAATGAATGACACGAATTCAGGCGTTTGAGTTTCATTATTTGTAGATTATAATGAGATGAATAATATTTTTTTTGAAAAATGAGTGGTTAAAATTTTTTTGATTTACGTGTAATATTATTTTACTAAAAATTGTGTGATTAAAAATAAGAGAGAAAAAAATTTCATTTAATGTAATGAGAAATAATGAGGCTCAAACGGGGCTAAGAATTGTGTACACTAATCTTGTTATAGGACCATGATTTGTTGCATCAACATTGAAAATCGCAACTTTTGTCGGCTCGGTTATAATGTGATGATACCGTCACGTAGATTTTTTTTCCTCGTCTATCTATAAGATGATCATAATAGTTTATGAAACAAGAATAAGTTGAGATGTACAATAGATTGGATAAAGATATATCAATGTCCGTACTAGATAAGATACATGACATGATTTTATATATATATTTTGGTTAACTTTTGAAAAAAAATGAAAATAAAAAGGAACATCTGACTCTTGATGTGTCGAGCCAAGATAATTGGCCTCTCTTTAAAATCTATCCAAGGGTAAAAAGTGAAATAAATAAATAAATGAAGAAATATGATAATTGTTGACCTCGGAAATTGGTCCCTCCACGTGACCAACTGAAAGCTACTCCACATATTCCTCTCTGCGCAATCAACAAATAGTCAGGCGCACACGGCCGGAACCAACGGGGGTGGCGGCGGCCGTATACACTCCGACGGTCAAGTCAGGTTTGGGTGGTCGGAACAGTACCCAGGGGGCTACACAAATCAATCAATAAAGGGGGAGGAGAATATATAAACTTGTTATGGAGTGCTGTGTATTAAGAGTTTCATTACCTTTGCCTCTTGCCAAACCTTAGGTATTTATAGGTGGTATGAACCGTTGGATGTGGAACGCGTGTATACATCTGATGGCATAAAGCGTCTGCTCATAGGCGTCAATCAGCCGCGTTTGTAGAGTGGGCGGACAATTTGTTTCCTCTGAGTTGAATTGACATAAAGTTGATAAGTCACATCAACTAGCCTCATGGAGACGTCAAATCAATTTAAGCCTTAGGTGTAGGACATCTCAAATTTGCGACGGATCTTCTAACCGGGGTCCACTTGATCTCGACCTCGGAGGTGAGATGCTTCGGCAGATCAGTAGTAGGAATCGCTATATCACTTCGGAGAAGTTTCGGAAGGGTCGTTTTCAGGTCGGAATAAATGGTACTGCGGAGGGTCCACTTGATCTCGGCCTCGGAGGTGAGATGACACTTCGGTATCGAGACGTAAATAATCGGGGCGTAACAGTGGTCCCCCAAGTCGGGGGATGAATATTTATATCATGCGTGGATTTGCTTTCCTGACCGGACCGCAAGTCATGGGAGTTTTGGGGGTTGATCCGTCGCAGCAATCGAGGTTATGATAATAGGCAGATGTGTCAAAGTTTCGTTATTGTGCGTAACGTTCGAGGCGGTCAAGCAGCATGGGACGTCGCGTAAGGTGCACCGAAGCTTCGCGAATGGCTGAAACTTTGTAAAGCATGGGAGGGAACGCGGCGTCCGAGGCGATGACCCAATAGGGCCTTCGCGTCAGGTGCGTCCAAACTTTGTAAAGTTGGAGGAGGAGCTCATCTGCCACCGGTGCGCTGACCCAAAAGGTCGACGCGTGGGGAGATGGCTGAAACTTTGTAAAGCACGGGAGGGAACGCGGCGTCCGAGGCGATGACCCAATAGGGCCTTCGCGTCAGGCGCGTCCAAACTTTGTAAAGTTGGAGGAGGAGCTCATCTGCCACCGGTGCGTTGACCCAAAAGGTCGATGCGTTGGGAGATGACTGAAACTTTGTAAAGCATAGAAG